GTGGGAGGTTTGAGAAACGGGCCTGGGTGCTGTACGCAGCGCTGGCTGCTGCCTCCGTCTCAGTGCGGGGTCACTCATGAGAATATGCGCCCAGCTGTGTAGAGCCACATCCTCCAATCACCTCATTTTACAAATGGGGGACCGAAGCCCAAGGAGAGGAAGAGGGTCTGAAAGGAACAACCGGAGAGGCAGAATTTCTCCAGCTAGCTCAGGGGCCCGGAGAGGTGAGGGAAGGAACGGGGACTGAGGTTTGGGGGTAGGCTTGGAAAGGTAGGGGAGAGGGGCTGATACAGGGGTCAGCTGCTGTGGCGAGGGTCCAGCTGGCCTCACTGCGTCACGGCCTTGCCTATGGCCACCCGTCTGGATTCTCGGTGAGGTGGGCCCAGCCCAATGCTTGCACCCTCCCACCCAGCTCCCAGCAAAAGCGCCAACATCAGCTGGGCTCAGACGGGGTGCCAGCCCATCCCGAGCCCTGCGCCCTCCACCCTCACAGCAACCTTACGAGCTGCAGGATATGATCCCTCCCATCGTACGGGCAGGGACACTGATGCTCAGAGAGGTCTTTATTTTGTTTGTTTTTAACTGAACTTAGGTGACATCACCGAGAAGTTGGAGCAACGGTCTAAACCCAGGTAGTCACGCTCCAGATACGAGCTCATTACCACCCCGCCCCGCTGTCCAGGCCCCTTTCTCACAGTGCACACCCCATGTGGCAAGGAGCCCCCAAATCCAGAGAGAGAACAGCAGATGGGCCTTCTGCCTGCAGGTCCCAGAGAGCCTGGGCCAAGGCGGAAGCAGACGTGGAAGAGGCCTGAGCCTCAGGCCAGAGGTTGGGAGCCACCGTCTCCTTTCCTGCCAGAAAGATTCCTGGTCTTTAAGAGATGAGCAGTTTCCATAATGCCCACTGACGCCCCAAATGGTCACAGCTGGGGGGGGGCAGGGCCAGACTCTGAGAATACAGATGGGGCACCTAGGTCCCTCCACGGGCAGAGGTCCTTCCCAGGACCCCTGAGGGACTGAGAACCCTCCTGCCAGCCTGGCTGGCTTCCAGGTGCCCTTGGAGGTGGCCAGGCCTGAGGGAGCCAGTCAATCCTGTCCAGTTGGTCCAAGGTCACGGTCACCAATAGCTTGGAAAACAATGAGCGGTGGGTCCAGCCGTGGCCGCAGCCGGAACAAAGGCTCGGGCACTTCCTCTAATTGAGGCCCCCTCCTTCATGGTTTGCCAAGGCGAGGGCAGAGGAAGCTTTCATCGGGAGGTAGGGATGTTTTGTAAAGGCTTTTCCGGGAGAGCCACAGCCGCTAGCGCCAACAGGGGAGCAGGGGAGAGAGGGGCCTTGATTCTAGACCCGTGGGGCCCCCACTTTGCTCCCCAGGCTGCATCACTACAATGCAGGGTATTGAGCTTGCGCCTCCTCTCCATGACCCTAGCTCAGAAGCTGGCATCTGTCCTCAGACCCACCCTCCACACTGGCAGGAGCAGTCTTCTAAAGCAGCACTGTCCTGCTCTGAACCCCCCGTAACCCCCCCAGTGCTCACGGGAGGCGGCTCAAGGTCCTTCCCCTGACATGCGCAGCCCTTCAGGACCCAGCCCTAATCTCCTTAACCTTCCCGCCACCCCATATACCCTGGCAGCTGTGCCCGCGGTGATCGTGCGTGGGTGCTTCTGTCCCTCCTCCTCCCTGACCCTCCTTTAGGGTCTAGCTTCAATCCCCCCCCACCCCCCGCAAGAAGCTTCCTTGACTGCTCCAGCCCATGCAGGTTCCCCTCCTCTGAGCCCTATGTCCCCAATAAAATCCAAGAAGAATGTGAGCCCAGGATTCCAGAGAACGGTGTTAGGAGACCGATCAATAATAGAACAATCCTTCCTTAGACTAAATTTCCCACAGCACTCTCTGTTTACACAATCATCCTGACGTATTATTAATAGCACCTCCCTCAGGTTCAGTCCCTGTGCTGGGACAGGGGAGGGGTGAGGCAGAGGGGGCAGCCCTGAGTTGGTCCTGAGAGTACCTAGACTGGGTGCCCAGAGGGCACAGGGAGGTGGGTGCTTATCACCCAGGGCTCTGCTCCGTGGGGAGCTGGGACTTTGCCGAACCCCCGCAGATGTCAACAGGCCTTAAAACAGAAAGTGCCAGATAAGAGCCCAGGATTGCCTTTATCAGGGGCCACAGGAAAGGCGCCAGGTTTAATCTCAAACCACACCCGGAATCAACGGTTTAGAGAGCTCAGGCAACTGTTGCCTCCCCACCCTGACACCCAGGGACTGGGGCTGTACGCCCAGAGGTGGGGCGAGGAGGGAGAGTGCAGATGTGGGCCAGGAGGAGCTTCTTCAAGGAGGGGGAGTGAACCTTGGGTTTCATCCCCCAGGTACATGGGAGGAGAGAGGGAAGCCAGGAGCCCAGGGCCCAGGGATAAGGAAATGCAGCAGGATGTAGAGGGTGCGTGTGCGTGTGTGTGTGTACGTGTGCATGTGTGCACATGTATGTGTGCGTGGCATGTATGTGAGCATACTTAGTAACAGGGAATCCTGTAGCTGGGTGACCAACACCCACTAACTGGGATCTGGGCTTGTAAGACAGGAGCTGACCCAGGGCACCCAGAGGGTGGGGCCCGCACTTTCAGTTGGGTAAATGCAGGAGGGCTTCCTAGAGGAGGGGCCTTGAGGGATGGGTGGGACTTGACAGATGGACGGCAGGAGCCAAAGGGCAGGAATCAGGTGCAACAAAGCAAAAGCTTCGGGCAGTAAGGGGCTCTTTGGGGAAGCAGCTGCTATCGTCTGGGGCCAGTGGAGCTGGAGGAGGGACAGGGGTAATGAGAGGCAGGCTGCAGTCACCCCCCAACGCTCCCCTCCCGTTAGATATCAGATGTAGTCCCTTCAGTAAGACCATCGGGAGACCCCTGTGAAGGAGAAGTGTCCCAGGAGGGCTCTTAACTAAGGATTGCTATCTGGGCCTCAGTTTCCCCATCTACAAAGAGAGGCCTTCAGTGACTTCCCGAGGACATTGCAAGGGTATTTCGTGGGAACGTGGGCAGGACAGTGGGATAACGCGCTATGACCGGAGATGGCATGAGAGGAGGGGAGGGAAAGGCAAACCTCGGGCTTCTGTAACCCTTGAGTACCCAGCCAGTGGGGCTCTGATCTCTCCAGTGCAGAGCAGATCTGTGGTGCACCATGCAGGCTGGCAGCCTGCCACCCCGACCCCTGGGCAGCCGGCCTGCCGGCTCACCCGCCCACCTGTCCGCCCACCCCTCGTCCTGCATTAAGCAATCTCCATATCACACATGCCTGGCATTTTTGCCTGGTAATTACAGCTCCCACAGCCCCACGAGGATTAGGGCATGAGCAGGGCGTAGGGAGAACTCTGGGGGGAAGAGAAAGAAGTCCCTGCAAAAACTCGGCAGCCTGCGGATTTCGGGATCCTGTAAGGGCTCGGTGGCCAGGGAGGATGGTCCACAGGGCGTCTGTGACCTCCGTCCTCTCCTCACCGCTCCCTGGCAGCACCGCCTGAGCCCCTCGATGTACCCGCTGCCTCTGCCCACTCCCCTGCAGGGAAAGGTCTGAAGCAGAGCTCTGAGTCCTCCTTGTCTCAGGGACAACACCCAGCCCGGGCGCACGGTCTAAGGCCTTCACCTACCGTCTGCCTCCTCTCCTAACCCTCCGGGGCGCCCACTCTCAGGTATCCCCAGTGAGACCTACAGAGGTGGACTTGCACGGTCTCTTGGCTCTCACCATTCCTTTCACCTGGAAAGATCTTCCACCTGATTCTCCCCTTGTCAAAACCCTGCCCATCCATCCGGGCCCAGGTGATGCTACGGCCTCTGAGGAGCCTCCCCGAGCCCCGTTGGACCATAAGAAGCAAACACTGAGTCCTTGTGACGGGCTAAGCCCTGCTCTGCGTGCTTCCCGGCGTATCGACTCACTGAATCTTCTTCCCAGCCCTGTGAGGAGGTCATTTTACTGATGAGGAAATGGAGGCCTGAGCAGCTCATGTCAGGAGACTAGGCCACGCAGGCAGGGAGTGGTGAGCCAGGACCAAGCAAGCTCAGGCCCTCTGGTCCTCCTGCAGCTTTCCGCTCGGCGGCCCCGCGTGGCACGTCTCCTGTACGTCCCCTCAGTTCACTTCTTCATGATGGGGACGGCTCCTGCGTTTCCACACTGTGACCCCACAAAACCACAAGCTCTAAAGCAGAGCTTCTCAAACTTTAACCTGATTCACCGGAGGGTTTTGTTGAAATGCAGCTCCTGATTCAGTGGGTCTGGGGTGGGGCCTGAGGGCCTGCATTTCTAGGAAGCCCTCGGGTGTTGTGGATGCTGCTGGTCTGAGGTCACACACTGGGATGCGAGGCTGGGGTCTGCACTAGGGCAGGAAAATCCTCGTGTTGCCATCGCTTGCTTAGCAGAGCCCAGGGCCTGTGGGAGCCTTGCTAAGACCGGCCCTTCACCACTGCCTGCTGTCCTGAGTCTGGGCCACTGCAGTCCTTCCACCACAGTGGGCCACAGCTCCATCTTCCCTTCTGGCTCAGACGCAGAAACCTGAGGGGTCAGTCGGATGGGGCCTGGACACACCCCTGCCTTAGAATATCCCCCCAATACCCCTCCCAGCCCTGGCCCGGCTCGGACTTCCTGGGAATTCTTCTAGTTCTAGAAATTGCTCTTATTTGTACTGCCACCGTGCAGCTTACAGAGAGAGGGGTGCAAGTGGTTCTGCCAACATTGGTCCATCACATCCTCCAGCCATGGGCTGGCAGTGGAAGAGGCCAGTAGCCAGTGAGGACTTGGAGAGAGACGTCAGTGTGCTGGGGACCCGTCCCCCAGCCTGGAATACCGCGGGTTGCATCTCCCCTCCTAAAGCCAAGTGAAGGAGGCTTCAAGAAAACTGCCTGAAACCTTGCCCTGTGTGCCCCGCAGTGAGGGACGGTCCATGCATGACTCCCGCCCGGAAGTCGCTGTTCCCGGCGGTGGCTGAGCAGACAGACAAGCTGAGGGTGGGAAAGACCTGACCTCCCGAGCTGGGGAGGCAAAGGTGTATTGGTGCTTTGCGTGGCTCAAATGCGGATCGTGCAAAAGGCAGGCTTGGGTCTTCTTGAAAGGGGAAGGAGGGAGGTGGACTTCACCAGGAGCTGCAGGAGGATGAATCGTCTGGGACTCGAGAGAGACCCCAGCAATGGGAGGTCCCCCATAAGAACCTTCCGTAGCTGAGAGTATGGCGTTAAATGTTACCATCAGGCTGGTCTTGCTGCTCACACTGCCAGAAAAGTAGTGCACTCAACTTGCTCTTTCATCCAGGACCAAGAAACAAACAGTGGCGAGAAAGAGAGGATCCGATAAGGAGCAGTAAGAAAGGATAAGGCTGCTTGCGGCTCACAGTCCACTGAGGTGTGCTCGTTCAGTGGACAGGCTTCTCAGAGATGGAGCGCCAAGCCCAGGCTCAGCCCTCAGGGAGCTACTCACCTCTAGGACGTGGTCGTTCAACTCTAGGATAGGGTTGGTTCTTAACTGTTTGAGGGAAAAGAGGGGCTTGTTATTCCAAGTTCAAGGCCATGAGGAAGATGCGCATGTACACAAAGCTTTTAATGTAATTTTTTTTGGGGGGGGCGCGCTATGGACCTCTGAAGCCTACCCACAGGCTTCCTAGGAAGCTGTGCACCCCATACGGAGAACGCCCACGGGCAAGGATGCATACGCCTGTATGTCCTCCTCGCAGGTTTGGCCGCTGTATGTGCATTTATTCTAGCTTCTGGTCTGGGAGAGAGTGGCGCAAAAGGCTCTGTTCATTTTCCATTCCAGAAAACCCCGGGCAGTGGGCGTCAAACTGCACGGGTACCTGCGTCTTAGCTTCCAGAGAAGTGCTTTTGTCATTTGTTGGAACTGATCTTCTCAAGCAGCATTGGGAATATTTTTATTTCTCCAGCCCTGCCAATGGGACCCCTGGTCAGGAGGTTAAGTGAGTTTCATTAAAAAGACAGTTTTTCCTTCCTGGGCTGATAAACAAGGCTCCTGCAAGGAAACCACCTTCCTCGGCCTGGTCGCTCAGCTGGAGCGGCCTGTCCCTGGCCAAGGAAAACAAATGCATAAACACTTCAGGGACATATAGGAAGCAGTTCTGCTGGACGCCCACTGTGAATGGCCACTGGAGTTTACATAGCAAGCCCCGCCGGGGCCTCTGCACAGCCTGGACAAAGCAAAGCCCTCCCTGCCCTCACTTCCCTCCGGCTCCTCCCTGCCTCTCCCCACAGACGGACAGTTGGCCATCACTCGCGAACAGCCCCTAAAAGCAACAAACAGGCTCTGTAGTTGTCGCCACGGAGTGCCAGTTTTGCCCCCTGCATGCCTGGCACTTAAAGGGGTCTCCTTTTAGCCAGGACTGCAGAGCGACACAGCCTCCCACTCCCAGCTAATTTCATTCTGAGCTCCAGGAAGCACACAGAGGCCGGGCACCGGCAGCCAACCCGTGGCTATGGCCCTCCGAGACCTCGCGCTGCGCCACCAGGGAGTATGGTGTGCCCTGGTCCCCATGTGTAAACACCCACCTCTGCAGGCCCCACTCAGACTCCCGGCTCAAGGGCCCGCTGGGCACATCAGGGGCGAGCATGGGACAGCAGCTCCTGGGGGCTCTGCCATTGTGTTTCTCACAGCTTCTCACGTGGAAAGCCATGTGACAGGCTCGTGGAGGCCGGGGCTCTACCCCTGGGTGCCCTCCCTCAGCCCCTTTGTTGGGAGACATTGCAGAGGGTCCTCAACTTTAGTTTTTGATCTCTCTCTCTCCCTCTCTCTCTCTCTCTCTCTCTGGTCTTTTTTTTTTTTAACCAGCCTCTGATTTTATTTCTCCTATTTGAGAATATGAACACTTGCTCATATTCCTTTCCTTTCTGAAATTGGTAGGATATAAATAAATGGAATGAAGGAGGCGTCAACTGTACGATTTTCCCTTCACAAGTGACTGTTTTTCCCACCCCCACCTCCTCCATCCCGGCTCTGCCCTGTGAAGGTCTCCACAGGTTCCGCCCACTCACATTTTCAGCCAGTTCTCTGCACATGCCCCACTGCAGACACACACGGGGACCACATCCACTCCCTCTGCTCATCCCCCCCTTATTGCCGTCCATGGCCTGGAGGCCCCTCCCTAGAAGGTTCTTTCCCCCGTGTCCACTTGGCCAGGACCAGCCCCAAGGTCCACATGACTAGCCTCTTGGGGCCTGAAGGCACCCGGGTCTGCTCTGGGATGGGCTCCCGGGGGGTGGGGGTGGGGGCTGGACTGGGGGTTGAGTTGCTCCTGGTCCACACAGCTTATGGAGCTGCCTTCGACCTGGAGTGGAGCAGAAGTCAGGCCAGACCAGCAGCCCAGCCAGGAACACCACTAGACCTGCAGAGACCCTGGTGAGGTGACGTCTTTGCCCGCAGGTCACCCAGGCTCTGGGGCCCCTCCATCCTAGCCACGATCCACACAGACCTGGTGCTTCCTCCACGGCAGCAGAACAAATGAGTCTCAGCCCTCAGCATGGGTTTCACTCCTGCTTTATAGAAAGCCACCTACCAGAAATACCGAGTGCCCAGGGTCCCTGGGCTGACCGTATCAGAGGCTTGGCAAGGGGACGGCACAGCGGGGGGCAAGCGAGGGATGCAGACAAAAGGCAGCACAGGCCCCAGCAGCTGGCCTCCTTCCTGTCCTTGGCAGTCACAGCTCCGCTGGGAGGGAGCCACACAGCAGCACAGTCCTGGGCGGGCCCTTCATGGAAGGGGCAGGGAGGTTCTGGATGCTTCTGCAGCAGTGCTGGCCCAGATGGGGGTGACACCCTTTTGAGAGACTTGTCCCTGAGGCCTGGGGCCCAGCTGTCACTCCTGTGATGAGCGGTGGAGCCACAGGGCTTACCCACAGGAAAGCTCAGAGGATGGGTTCCGAGCCGTTCCAGTTCACCGACGCCCCCTTCCACCTAGGAGCAGAGGGCCAGAGAGAGAGTTAAAGCTACAGGACCCACACGGAAGCTGTCTCGTGCCCTCATTCACCTGAAGTTCTTGTCTCGGGGGCTTGGAGGAGTCAGGTTCCAGCCTCCCTACCTCGCCCCTGCACACACACACACACAAACCGACACACCACATCCTTACAAAACACAAATGCACCAAGACCCCAGAGAGCAATGGAGGAGGAGGACATTCATTTATGCATTCATTCATTCCTGCCAGTTGTTTATGAGGAACTCCCTTTGTGCCTGGCACTGCGGGGCCCTCCGCTAATTGTGTTTAATTCACACACAATTGAATCCAGGCGCTTTCCAGGTGTGCCTGATGGTGGCACTTTAAAAGTACGTGGGAAGAACGCCATACGGGAAAATTCTGGAGCGTTCAAGGTGCAGAAGGAAGTCCGGCTGCTGGAGCCCAGGAAGGGGGGCAGAGCTGTGGCACAGGCTGTGGGGGAGGGGCGGCACCTCGCAGGACCTGGGAGGACTTGTAAGGATTGCGGGCTTTGCTCTAAGAGACACGGGGAGCTAGCGAAAGGCTGTGAGCAGCTCAGTAAAACACAGTTTTGCAATTTTAATTACTTTATGACACCCTACGAAGCACCGAGGATAATTAAACTGTAGTCCAGGCTTAGATATAATTTAATAATAGTTCAATTCCAAAATGAAAGTTATTGTACATGTGACCATGACATTGCCCAACCTGTGATTTTAATCTGTGGCTAAAACAATTCAGAGGAACCACCTCTATAGCAGATGGGATATTCTTGCAAAATCTGGCATTGGGTATATTAACATACATAATACACGTATCGGAAGATTATAGGAACTAGGAAACAAGGGTTGCATACCTCCACAGCACACCACAGCGCAGGATTTGAGGCTGCAGGGTTTAGAAATGCCTTTCACCACATGGGCTTTGGGGATGGAGGGAGCAGGTGTTTGCAAAACCTGAAGTTTTTCTTCAGGACGGAAGTCAACATGGCCACTGCCACAGAGGAAGAAAAGAGAGGCGCTTTCCTCACTTTAATTGTCCATCTGTTTTAGAAAGTCCAGTATCCCTGAGATTGCAGCTTCAACAAGGAGGGACAGAACGGCCTCTCCCCAAATAAGACGAGTTCCATTTCCCAACCAAATGCTTAAAAAGCACCAAGGGCTTTTCATCACAAACCCAACATTCTCCATCTTCATGAATAACATGGACTCCCCACTGAATTGCTTTATCCTTCCTTCTCAGGCTTCTGCTCTTTGTCTTTCTTCACGTCTGTGCCTGGCTTAAACGGCCACATCAGTGTCCCTGATTTTTAGGTTGAAAGGGACAGCCTTCCAGAGGCAGTGGGGTTCATACACATTCTGTTCTTCCAGCTTCTCTTTCCTCTGGTTCCAGGCAACTTCATGGTATCTGTGAAGACTGCATGTTCCCCTGTTGAACACGTTCCACCATCTCCTTTCCCTTCAAAGGAGCAAAAAGGTTTCTTGTCGTTTGGAGAAAGGAAGTCTTAACAGTGATTCTGTGCTTCCTGCTCCCATTAAGAGGTTTAATGCAGGAGATGATACTTGCCTATAGCCCATTTTGGAACAATTAATATTGCATTCTCCTCCTAGCTCCACCCAGGGCACTGTGAGGATAAACCTTCCATAACCACTGGGGAATGTAAGAATGTGATGTTCAGCATAATCTTGACACAAGACACAGCCCTTCCCTGCTATGCACGCCAATCAACATCCCAAGAAATGTTTATCTGGTCCATATATGAATGATAAATTGCATCTTCTTATTAAAACACTCAGCGTAAAAGGCTGAGATGGGTGGAGGGCGGATATCCCGCTCAGCCATGAATGCTACACCGTTTTGGGGAACTGGTCCTTCCCACACTAGCTCTGTGTTCCCCTCGGTGTCATTTGCTAATGCCCCGTGATGCTGAGGAATCTCACCCAAAATGAAGGTGCACGGCTTTTTGGCATCTAATCCCTTCCTTCCTGCATGAAAGGCTGAGTGGTACCATTTCACCACCTGAGCCACCTGGCCCCTGGGATCCTTCTAGTCACAAGTGCTCAGAAGCAGTTCTGGATGTGCAAAAATATGTGCAGACATCTCTAAAAGGCAGCTTTTCTCAAGAGTAACTGTGGGAAGAAGCACCTTGGTAACACACATTTGAAACCTAACCTGTGACAAGAGCTGCATAACCCTCTCGCGCTTGTCCACGGACCCTGCCTCCCCTTCATCAGCCATCGTGTCGCGTGAATCAAAATGGTCAGCACCACTTGTCCCATTGGATGTGGGAGAATTAAGAGGTCCTATGGTCTCTGGGTGCTTCAGACTTTCTCCTGAGCTGCTGTGCGTCCGTACCGAGGCGAATCCGGAGGCATCCATTAGGTGCTTGGGCCACTTGGATGGGCTCCATCGGCATTCATCACTGCTTAAAGCGGACACATGGGACTGTGCCTGGAGACAACGTGACATGGCTGGGAGAAGCCAGACTGCTTCTAGGTGGTCAGTGCCCACTGCCTGCGCTGTTTGGTGCTGGAGCCTGTGATGTCCCCAAGTAGCTGACATAGGTCCAGTCAGTAGGGAAGACAGATGCGGCTCTGACTTGCACAGCTGAGCAGTTTCTGGAGGTAAAGACAGGCTGGGAAGACAGCGCGCTGATCACAGGTTCCTGGGGACAAGGCTGACCTATCTATGGGGTGAGGGGTACTTTAGCCACACGGCACGGGAGTTCATCGATTCTACCATGCAACTTGGGATTTTCAATTTTCTTTCTCTGTTCATCATTGCAGTTTTGAAGCACGTCATTAAAAAGCTTTAATGGTTCTATTAAGCTTTGTAGGTAAGCATCAGCCTCTTGTAAGTGTCTTACCAAAGTTTTGCATGCTAGGCACACATCCTGAACCCAGGCCCCCAGAGAGCAGTAGAAGGGAGGGAGGGAGAAAAGCGACAGTCCATCCACAGCCTGGGTCCAGGCAGGCCTCAGGGACCCAGATTTGCAAAGGGGAAACTACTGCCCACACCAGGGTGGATTATCACCCTCCCTCCCACCCCCCTAAGTCATGGTAAAAATGGAGGGAAGAGTCAGAAATAGACCAGACTTCCTGTATCCCTATAAGCTCCATCCTCAGCCTGGCCCCCACACCCTTCCTGCATCCCTCCTAGTCTTCGCTCTCCCCACTCTGAACAGGCAGATAGAAGTTCCTCCTATGAGCTCCCAAAATCTGCAGGCATTGCAGATCCTGGCAACATGGGGTCGTTCTGTTTTCAGTGTAGGAGCGAGCCATACCTGTGTGCCACTAGATGTATGTGTCACGCCAACAGTCATTAGCCTTATGCCAGGCTATGCGGTTTATACTTAGTTTTTTTTTTTTTTAAGATTTTTATTGGGTAATTGGGGGGATGGGAAATTGGGGGAAGGGGAACAGACAAGTTGCTGTCGTTTTTTGTTCTTCAATCTAGTTGTGGAGGACATTGCTTCTGGCCCAAGTTGGCACCATCATTGCGCTCTTCCCTGGCGAGGCAGATCAGTCGCCGGCTTCTGGACAGCCGCTCACTGCGGCTGCTGGCT